AGTTGGTATGCTTTCATAAGAAGATGAGCAGGAGGTTTGTGAGGTTACCTCTTGATTGGCATCATCTTTGGCCATTAGGCAGAGAGTGTCATCTTCTGACATAGTCCACCTATCCTCTTGGTTGGACTTTTCAACTCTGCGCTCCATGCAGACGAGGGCTTCTTCATCCGAGCTTGAGCTGGATGACTCGTCACTCTCAACAGCAACCATTGCCTTCTTTTTCTTCTCGTTCCTTTCCATTTCTCCGTACTTTTCCACCTTTGGGTACGGGCATGCTGACTTCAAGTGGCCAGGCTTCCTGCAGTTATAACACAAATAAGATTCAGGAGGGGAGTCACTTACTTGTGGCTTTCCCTTGGTTGGCCTTCTAACTGAGTCAGCCTTCTTGAAGAACTTCTTGAACTTCCGGAATTGTTTGACCATCATGGCAAATTCCTCATCGTAGTTTTCCATTTTTGAGCTTGACGGCTGGCTAGAGGAAGGTGTGTCACAGCTTCTTGGACATGTCCCTTAAATTGATGGGACTCTTGGAGTCGTCATCAATGCCGTGGGGAAGGGAGTGACTTGTTCTTCCTTCTTCTTCTTCAGCTCGTGCTCATAGGTTCTGAGCTCATCAAGGAGACCTTGGACAGTGTAGTTTTCCAGGTTTCTTCCTTCTTCCATGGCTGTGGCTTTGGTGTACCACTTAGTTGGAAGAGATCTCAGCAACCTTACATTCTTTTCTTTAGGAGAAAGAACGTGGTTAAGTGAGGCAAGATCATTCAAGATTTTGTGGAATCTTTCATCCAACATATCGAATGATTCTCCGGGAAGCATTTTGAAGCTTTTAAACTTCTCAAGCAGGACTTCTACCTTCTGCTTTCTCAAGTCCTCTGATCCCTCACATAGCTTCCCAAGACCTTGCCATATCTCTCTATGGCAGTCTTGAGATGCTTGATTTTGGAGAAGGTGATGGGATCAAGTGTCTTGAAGATGGCTACTTTGGCGATGTTGTCCAGATTGTGCTTTTTGCAATCTCTATCATCCCATTTTTCCTTGGGCTTTGGAATGTACTGGACTACGTCTGGAGTTGCTGGATTCCTCTCAGGATTCTCCATTTGGATTTTCAAGGGTCCATCCTCAAGCACCATCCACATGCAATCATGTAGAGCGTAGAGGTGTGCTTCCATCATGATCTTCCAATCATCATAACCTAGAAGAGAAAACTTGGGCAAACCGTGATCCATATTGTTCACCATTTTGATCGCTTCTCGTTAATCTAAACGTAGATAGTGAGAAGTT